CTTGAGCCACAGGCGCCGAGCCTCTTTATTGATTTTTAAAAAAAGACACACGAGAAGAAATTCTCTGCTAAACGGTACTGTGAAGATGTGCCTAGAACAGAGGCAGCTAGGAGTGCCTCTGACCAGGAGGAGTGCTACGTAAGAATAAGCCATTGTCCCAAGGAAAAGAGAATGGAACAATGAAAGAACACAATCCTTAATTGCATTCTAAAATATGTTATATTATCTAGGTTTTGGGGGGTTTTTTTGAGACAGTCTCATTCTCTTGCTCAGCCTAGAGTGCTGTGACGTCAGCCTAGCTCACAGCAACCTCAGACTTCTGGTTCAAGCCATCCTCCTGCCTCACCCTCCTAAGGAGCTGGGACTACAGGCATCCACAAACATGCTCAGCTAATTTTCCTATTTTTAGTAGAGACAGGTTCTTGCTTTTGCTTAGGTTGGTCTTGAACTCCTGAGCTCCTCTCACCTCGGCCTCCCAAAGTGCTAGGATTATAGACATGAGCCACCACGCCTGGCCCTACATTATCTATTTTTATAAATCTTGAAGCTGACCTACCTCAGCTTGTGGTTAGATAATAAATTTATTTATTGCTTAAGTCACTTGAGTTTCTTTCAGTTATAGTTTAAAACATTCTGACCAGGTGGTGCCTGTGGCTCAAAGGAGTAAGGCATCAGCCCCATATGCCTGAGGTGGTGGGTTCAAACCCAGCCCTGGCCAAAAAATAAATAAATAAATAAATAAAGTGATCCTCTTAAAAAAAAAACATTCTGACCAGTGGCATACTCTTGTGCTTGGCATATAGCAGGTATTCAATAAACATTATTGGTTAATTAAACTTTGTTGATGCATTGGTTACAAAGCTCAGGGTTTCACTGAGTGTCTTCAAAATTAGTCCAAAATTCTGGATAAGGAAGATTTACATATGATTGGCTAACAGATCACAAAAGGCTGTTGCAGGTATTCATTTAACTGGAAGCTCAGAACATTCCCAGTATCTTCCTATTTCTCTGAGGAAGGAGCTTGTAAAATCAAAATAAATTCATTCCTTGGTATTCATCAACTACCTCCTTATCCCTGCTGTTAGAGTTTAGCGTTCTATTGCTCTTTAACTTTTTCTGGTCTGGGAGGCTTCTCTCTCAAGCTCCTGGAGGGATAGAACCATGTTTCCATCTCCCCTCAGTCTTTCACCACACTTAGCATAGTTCTTGGCAGTTCCCCATAAACACCTGCTTCATCAATTAGTGAACCCCCCAAATGATAAATTCAATTCTTATTTGAAAAAATATAATTTTATAGAGTTTTTCAGTATCATGTTGGTTGCATAAAGTGAGGTACATTCATTATATAATAGTAGAAAAAAGTATATACTTTTCCTGCCTTCAATTCTAACAATGAGTAGTCACATTGAGTCCAAGACAGGAAACCCTAGGAGGTGGGCAGGGAACCTCATTTACTGTGCGCAACTGGGCCCGGATTTCACAGGTAAGATGCACAACTCAACCTGGGTCTTGTCATTCTGCAGGGCTGTGGAAAGCCTGAGGGCACTAAGTCTTCCTTCTCCAGGAAGACATCTTAAGTTAGTCCTGCCTAATCTACCGTTCTATTAGCTTTCTGTAGCTGCGTGACAAATTACCACAAACTTAATGGATTAAAATAACACACATTTACC